CGTCTCGCTCTTCAGGAGATAAGAGCAGAAAAGGAGCAACACCGCCAGTGGTCGCGACCACGAAGTCGTTCCCGCGATCAAAGCAATGCAAGGGGATGTAGTACTAGTGGCGATCACGATACGTGCTGGTACCATCACCGTTTCGGAGCTAATGCTACAAAATGCCGCGCGCCATGCAAATACTCTCAGGGAAACGAGTAGGCCCGTCGTTGATAGCGGCTATCAACGATGGCCACACAGCGCGCCGAATCTTCGTCACCGACGCGAGATCAAAAGTTTCTTTTTTGGTAGACACTGGTGCTGACCTCTGTGTGTATCCGCGCAACCGAAGGAGCGACTATACGTTATACGCCGCGAATTGAACGCCGATTCCCACATATGGAATGGTGACATTAGACCTCGATCTACGACTTCGACGTAGTTTTAAGTGGAGTTTTGTGATTGCGGACGTAGACANTGGTGCTGACCTCTGTGTGTATCCGCGCAACCGAAGGAGCGACTATACGTTATACGCCGCGAATTGAACGCCGATTCCCACATATGGAATGGTGACATTAGACCTCGATCTACGACTTCGACGTAGTTTTAAGTGGAGTTTTGTGATTGCGGACGTAGACAGACCCATAATCGGAGCGGATTTTTTAGCATTCTACTGGTCGACGTCCGCGAGCGACGTCTCATAGACAAAACGACTTTGCTAGAGTCGAAAGGAGAAAACGTACTAAGCGAAGTGCAGTCCATAAAAACGGTATTAGTAGAGTCGGAGTTTTCTTGTTTACTAAGCGAATACCCCGATATTACGCGACCCGCCGGAACAGCGGGCCAAACGGTTACACACGACGTCGTGCACTATATCACCACAACACCCGGACCACCCGTTTTCTGCCGCGCTCGACGTTTGGCCCCTGATCGTCTGAAGTCAGCGAAAACAGATTTCGAAATGATGTTACAGCAAGGAATCATCCGCGCATCAAAAAGTCCACGGGCATCTGCTTTACATCTGGTACCGAAGAAGGATGACGCATGGAGACCCTGCGGTGATTATATGGCTTTGAACGCCAGGACAATTCCAGACCGATATCCTCTACCGCACATCGAAGATTTCGCAGTCTCTATACGGTAAAACAATATTCTCCAAGATAGATTTGACTAGAGCGTACCACCAGATCCCCGTAGCACCAGAAGACGCAGAGAAAATCGCTGTTACTACACCGTTTGGATTGTTCGAATTCCCGCGTATGCCGTTCGGTTTACGTAATGCGGCAGAGACGTTTTAGCGATTTATCGACCACGTCCTACGCGGACTGGACTTTTTCTACGCATACGTCGATGGCGTTTTAGTGGCATCGCGCGACAAAGAAGAGCATCTGCAATATTTAAAAACAATATTCGAACGTTTCAGCGAGTACGGGTTAGTAATTAACGTTTCGAAGTGCGTATTCGGTGTCAGCGAAGTCAAATTCGTGGAGTACAGTGTCAATCACAGTGGTACGAGGCCATCGCCAGAACGAGTTCAGGCAATCGTAGAATTTCCCAAGCCCGTGTCAGTACGCCAACTACGAAGGTTTTTGGGCATGGTAAACTTTTACCGTCGTTTCATACCGAAAGCCGCGGATCTACAGCAACCCCTCAACGAGATGCTACAGGGGCCCAAGCTAAAAGGAAACATATCGGTTAAGTAGACCGAACGCGCGCAGGAAGCATTCAACAACATAAAAAGCGGATTAGCGAAAGCAACAATGTTGGTACATCCTTTTCCAGCAGCCCCGCTGGCGGTGACGGTGGACGCCTCCGACTACGCCATAGGCAGCACCCTACAGCAGCTGGTTAACGGAGAATGGCAACCTTTAGCTTTTTATACGAAATCCTAGTCAGCCGCACAACGTAAATACAGTGCGTACGATCGCGAACTTTACGCGACATACGCGGCAGTGAAACGATTTCGTTACGCGGTAGAAGGACGCGAGTTCATGATTTTCACAGACCACAAACCACTGATTTACGCGTTTCAACAAAAATCAGATAAGTGTTCACCCCGGCAGTTCCGATACCTTGATTTCATCGGCCAATTTTTAACGGACATTCGTCACATCGCGGGGAGCGAAAATACAGTGGCCGACGCGTTATCGCGAGTGAAAACGATTTCACGAGCAGTGGATTACCAGACATTAGCCAAGGCGCAGGAAGATGACTTAGAATTTAAAAAACTGCGAGGAAAAGACTAGTGCTTTGAAATTGCGGAAAATATATGTGCCGGATTTCAAGTGTAACTTGTTTTATGACTTCAGTGCAAAATCAGCAAGGGTTTACGTACCCGAGCCGTTACGACGCGAAATTTTCAATTCGTTACACGGTTTATCACACCCTGGCATTCGGGCAAGCAAAGACTTTTAACGGAATGTTACGTGTGGCCGTCAATTAACAAAGACTGTCGAGACTGGGCGCGACGATGTATCCTGTGCCAACGAGCCAAAACTACGCGACATGTGACCCCACCAGTAGGAAAGGACCCCGCACTTTTTATATGGAAAAGTGGTTTCAGTCGGGAGGTCTAATTTTTGGTGGAAAAGGTCAACATCCTGAACAAAAAAGCTAATGGGCACAAAAAATCTACCGTCAGGATTTTGCGCTACGGCGCATACAAGGTCGCATGAGCGGGTGACCGCCTTTTTCCGTACCTACGCGTACGGTACTATTAGATCGCGTCCGCGATGCCAGACCAAATGCCAATAATCACGTTGAAATCGAAGTAGTTGAGATGGAATAGTTTGTGGAACATCAGTGGAGTACAAAGCTATTGGCGAAGACCACTACAAAAAAGCTAATGCACCTCATTCGGAACCTCATTAGGTGGTGTGGAAGACCGGAATCCTCATTTTTGAATCTCGTTTTTGTTAGATTTTGGTGCTTCTGATTGTATGCTGGTAAATGCAGACGAAAATATTTATTATTACTGTGGCAAAAATTATTTTTATAATGACAATGGCTGAACATTTTTTTGGTGACAATACTTATTGAGGAAGAAGAACATGAAAAAGATCTTCTTTTGAATTTAATTAGTCGTTGTCAAAATAAAAGTGAAGATCAATGTTTTCTAACAGACGTTTGGAAGGAACGGTATACAATGGGGGATGTTCTCATCCGAGATTGATTAATTTCTCGTCTTCCTCTGGTGAAAACTTGGTTTCCATTTTAAAACTCGTTAAAAATAAACGCGTTTTAGCACTGTATGCTGTGAGCTCAACTGAATGTCTGCGTTGAAATCAAATCAAATTTGATTTCGACTGAACTGACGACGCACAAAATTTTCTGCCTACCGTAGGTCCACCTGAGCAGAATCTAACAAACTGGCTACGCATCTTCTTGTGTTCTAGATTTCAGCGTAAGTCCGACGCGCACAACTGACTGTCTGCATTGCGTCGCCTACAGCTCCAACAAACCATAGCTTTAGATTGTTAATTTATAAGTATACTGAATCTATATTTAATCTTTAATTTTGTCTTTGTTTCCAGCACCGTATGAAACCATATATTTAGTTGAAACCCCTTTTTTTTCATATTAATAAAGTGTTATTAATAAATAGATTTACTTTTTAATTCTGCCTTTGTTTCTAGCTCCGACTGCGAACGCCGTTTTTAAATTGTAGATTTTGTAAATATATCTTGTCTTTATCTCTAGCAGTATAGTATATTTTGTTTAAGACCGTTTTATTGATGATTTGAATTGTTGATAATTTATTCATTTTATCTCTAAATATTTTCAGTTCATAAATATTCGGTAGTATAATTTGACATAATTTCTGTTTATAAAGAATTATTCTAATAAATTCTAATAAATAAATCTAGTTAAGGAAACTTGTGTATTTATTTTAAACCATAGTAAGGTTGATTAAATTCTGATCAGGCAAGAAGTTTAGTACAGTTTTGTTTATGATACACGAATAATTTTGTTCAATTTAGCGTTAAAATTAAACTACACTGAGAAAACTACTCTTTACAGTTTTGTAACAGAAAGATAAATAACAGATCCCTGCAATTTAACTTTATTTACTGTAGCTGCCCGAGTATTATATTGATCCCTAGGGGTCCACTTTGAACTGCTAGGAGTCCATGTCAACGCAAACGAAAATTGGGGATGCATGAAATTCAAATGAGGTCCACGGGAATGGATATGGATAATTAAATTTTGGCATTCCATAAATGGAATAATTCACATAATATAGATAATACCTATGTACTTACGCAATACTTTCTTATAATGGACATATAAATTACATGTGAAGTAAACATTTTTCATAAACAAATGTTTATGAAACATGATGAAGATTTGGAGCTGGATTTGGGGAACTTTATGACTCCATGCTCCATCATTCGTGATCGCTAATTGGACATTTTCCGTCGAAGACGGGCCAAACAAATAACTTAATCGCTTTGTATTTTAATTAATGCTTATTGTTTGAGTTTAATTAAACTATTTCGTTCCTCTTATAAAATTATTGTTGAAATTGTGCAACTAGGCTTTCTGCTCGCAATATTTGTAACTTGTAAAAACTTGCACTGTGTCAGCTGTCAAAAACACATTTGAAATTGATTAATTTGTAACAATTCAATATTAGTAAGGCGGGGGTCTACCCAAAATAGAAAAAATTGACACGTGGTCTACGAGACAAAAAAGTTTGGGGACCTCTGCTATAAACCGAGGGTAAGGTTTACGCCTGGAGTTTCCCCCACGTAAAATATAGGGAAACTGGCGCCCGAGACTAGCCGAACAGGAAAAAAATACAATCAGAAGTTCGTCCCTGTGACGTTATTCATTGCCACTAGCTGCCGACCACCGCTGGCGATAAAATTCCGTTAGTCGAAGAAGCGTTACCAAAATCTGTGCCCAAAGACGCCAGAAATTGTTAAACAAATTTTTAAACAATTTTCCGTTTAGAATTTAGTCTAACGGGTCGTCAATGTTTTATGAAATCTTTTGAGGTGGAATTTATTTAAACTTACCTACTTCTGTCTCTTCCACCCGATTGAACATATTGTAAATAAACCCTGATTTCCTTTTTCGACTTTTTTTGTAATATGGTTCATCATTGGAATCATCGTCTGTGTCCTTTATTTCCTTTGAGCTATTATAAAATTTTCGCAAAAATTTCCTTTTGCACTTTTGCTCTAAAAATAAATTATTAGATTGCATTTTTATGAATCTAATAAGAAATACTTACTTTTGGTTCTATTTTCACTATATACAAATAGTTTTTTTAAATGTCTCTGCTGTTCTTCATATGAATCTTTCGCCGATTTCGGTCGATACCAATAATCACAAGTCCAAAAATATATAACGGGTTTCTTTATTGTGTTTCTGTAATTAAAAGTATATTGTAAGAAATAACATACCATTGCAATCAATACTATGATAATGTTAAATAAAATTTAAATATATGGGGTGTCCGGAAATTAAACCGATGAATGAAGACAAATTCTAGAGGTGGTCTCATATCAATTTGACATAGATTGTCTTATTCAAAAATACCTTCTAATAGAGGTAGAGCTCTTTGAAGATGGCCCTGTGACATAGTTCTTTTTTAATTTTTAACTTTGCCAGAAATGTGATCTATTAATTGTAACCATAAGCTTCACATTTGGGAGGGTCAGCTGATATTTTTAATTACATATTTTTTATTTTCAACTTTTTGATATTTTTATTATTAAAATCGAAAACTTCAGAGCATATTGGATTAAAGAGGTACTCTTGTCTTGAGTGGTTAGGGTGTACCGTATGCAAGAAAAATCTAGTTTGTTTTATTATTGCACGATAGGTACAAAACTACAAATTCTAATATTAGTAGTTGACTTTGGAAAACAGATAAAGTGAAATTCTATAAAAAAAAGTTGGAATTTTATATTAATAATATCATAAACTGGCAAAAATTATAACAAAACGATGATTAAAGAAAACAAAGAATGGCAGGAACTGAATGATAAGAATACTGATATCCTTGGGTAAGTTTGATTTGACTATTATGAATATTTTTTTAATTGTAGGGATACAAGAAGATTAAGAAGGTGCTGATCGACACTTTAGAGGATAAAATTTTTATACAGTGTGTTTCGCATAAGAACCGATACAGAGCAGGGGCATGTAGGGAATCCCAAAATATGGTGATTTAACGCAACCTTTATACTAAACTGCAACTCTGAGAAGTTATAGGCCTTGACAGTGGGGTTTCAAATTTCGAAAAAAATCAATATCTCAGTTATACTTGAACTTAGAAAAACCAATTTTTGTACACGGTGTGAGTGTAACAAGAGCATTGATCTAAGTAGAATTTATAGGATTGATAGGGGATGATGCATTAGCAAAATGTGACAGAATTTTTTAACCCGCTGGCGGACTTACTACGGAGTTAAAAAAATATTACTTTATTTTATGGGGAATTTAATTCTAAAACTATTCTCTCTTGTTAGTTTTCAAAAAAACTTTTTGTCATTTTCAACAAAAACACGAATAACTAAAAATACGTATCGTAGCTGTTATTTAAAATTAGCGAAAATTCAAAAGTTGGTTTTGACTTCAAACTTGACAATCAGGAAAAAAGTTAGAATAGTTATAGTTTAGAATTTATAGAATAGAATAGTTTAATAAAAAAACAAACAACTTAAAAAATAGAAGAATAGAACAGAAATAACATACAATTTGCACTGATAAGTTATAGAAATTGTTTACAATGATCACCGTTTTCTCAGGCACAAAATTAAAGTCTACTCTATCCAATAGCTGCTGATAACTGCTTCTAATGAATATACATGTATCCGTAATGCGATTTCACAATTCTGCTCGAGAGGCAACTGTTCAGGGATACACAAATTCTTTTAACGTCCCCCAAAGAAAAAAGTCACATTTGTTGCGGTCTGGTGATCGTGGAGGCCAAACTTGTGGGCAATTATTTCCTCATCCAATCCACTTTTTTGGATACTGGTGGTTTAAAAAGTCTAACAATATTACTAAAATGAGGGGGTGCTCCATCATGCATAAACCAATGTTCCAGTCTAAAGCTTTGGTTTGTTAGAACTGTGCGTCGCAGACGACATACGCGGTTAGCAGAATCTGTAGCGTTCAACTTTATCGGTTTTGAAGGAGGGTGTTTTGTTAGATTTAGTGCTTATGATTGTATGCTGATAAGTGCAGACGAAAATATTTATTATTATTTTGGCAAAATGACAATGGCTGAACATTTTTTGCTGACAATACTTATTGAAAAAGAACATGAAAAAGATCTTTTAAATTTGATTACTTGTCGTCGTCAAAATAAAAGTGAAGATCGAATGAACAGACGTTTGGAAGGGACGGTATACAATGGGGGCAGTTTTCGTACGAGATCGATTAATTTATCGTCTTCCTCTGGTAAAAACTTGGTTGTCATTTTAAAATTCGTTAAAAATAAATGCTTTTTTAGTACTGTACGCTGTCAGCTCAACTGAACGGCTGCGTTGAAATCAAATCAAATTTGATTTCGACTAAACCGACAACGCACATAATTTTCTGCCTACCGTGAGTTCACCTAAGCAGACTCTAACAAACCAGCTACGCTTGTTCTTGTGTTTTAGATTCCAACGTAAGTCTGACGCGCACAACTGACTGTCTGCTTTGCGTCGCCTACAGCTCTAAGAAACCATATCTTAAGTTATAGTGGCACTTCGTCAAGTAGATCAGGGAGAGTGTTTTGGAGAAATTTCTAAGATTTTAAATAACACAGGTACAATATGTATTATTAGTTATTAGTGTATGTTTTTGAACACTAACAGGAGTAAGAAAAGTTCTAGAATTTCACATAATAATAATAATAATGATAATAATAATAATAATAATAGAATTTATTTGCCCATAATATAAATAGTTACAAAGTGAGGGTATCAAAAAAATCATAATTTAGACAAAAAGGGAGTACGCTCAGTACACCACAAGTGGTTTCCTGATCTTCCGCGCATCCTAGAGCATGTGAATATTCTATTATAATAAAAGTTATATGTACACATATACATACACATGTATAATAAAATATATAAAAATTATACACGGTAATACAAAACAAAACGATACAAGACTTAGAAATAATAATTGAAAAAACATTTCTTTAAAGACATTCTGAAACAATATCGTGACATTGGTTTTAACTCAGGACTTAACTTGTATAATTTTGCAATATTAAAAGAAAATTATCGCTCAAATAATGTAGACCTGTGTCTAGGCATGGTTAATAAACCTTTGATACGAATATTGATATTAACTTGTTAACTCTCTTGAAGAATAAAAACCATGCTTGGAGTTCATATAAAAAATCTAAACAACTTAATGATTATATTAACTTTAAAAATATTTGTTCCCAGGTAAAATCTGCCATCAAGATTGCTTATACAAATTATATACTAGAGTCCGAAAATACAATTATGAGCGATTCTAAAAAATTCTGGAACTTTGTAAACTCAAAAAAGGGTTTTACTGGTATATCATGCTCAATGTCATATAATGGGTCTAATTGCGATAATCCCCAAGACATAGTCAACGCCTTTGCTAGTTACTTTTCTAACTCCTTTATTGATTCCACCAATTTTGATTTAAATTCACAATACTATGTAAACGATAATGACATCCCACATATTCCTGAAATTACTGAAGATAAAATTTTAAATTCTATAAAGAAACTGAAAGCAAATATGACAATGGGTCCAGACAACTTGCCGGCCTTTATTATCAAGGATTGTGCTTGCTTATTTTCCAAACCGTTATGCACGATCTTTAATCAAATCCTTAGATCTAACACCATCCCTGATTTATGGAAACAGTCTCGTGTGTGTCCGGTTTATAAAAAGGGTAACAAGGAGGATGTTGAAAACTACAGACCTATTGCTATTTTATGCAACTTTTCTAAATTATTTGAAATTATTATTCGCGAACACATTTCTTTTTATGCTAAAAACCTAATTGTTCCTGAGCAGCATGGCTTCATGCCTGGTAGATCAACAGTGTCCAATCTTGTGTGTGCTACTCAATTTATTGCCGAGACTTTGGATATGAGAGGTCAGGTGGACGTTATATATATACAGATTTCACTAAAGCCTTCGACAAATTAGATCATGGTATATTGCTTCGTAAATTACACAATTTTGGTATCAATAATTCTCTTTTACTTATGTTTAAATCTTATTTATCACATCGTGTTCAGTTTGTGCAATATCGTGGTTACAAATCAAACATATTTAGTCAAACATCAGACGTTCCTCAAGGGTCACTACCACTATTTTTTATTATTTTTATCAATGATATAGCGCGAAACTTTAACGTAAATTTTTTAATGTATGCTGACGATTTGAAAATTTATACTAATGTCAACTGTGTATCTGATTGTAATAGGCTTCAGCACAGCTTGAATTTGCTTACCATTTGGTGTGATAATAATCGACTCCCCTTAAACGCTTCGAAGTGCAATGTAATCTCTTTCTCCCGTAAAACTAATTCTACTCTATTTAATTACAGCCTACGTGATCAGGTACTGGTTAGACCTGAGCATATTAAGGACTTAGGGGTCATCTTTGACCAAAAATTATCCTTCTCTGCACATATTGCTGAATCTGTCACAGGTGCTTACAAAAATTTGGGTTTTATTCTCCGAAATGGTAAGGACTTTAAGAATATGTCTACATTACGTACCTTATATACGTGCTTTGTTAGACCCAAGTTGGAGTATGCCTCTGTGGTTTGGTCTCCCTATTATAATAGTTACATAACATCATTAGAAAAAGTGCAGAGGAGGTTTCTTAAATCGGCCAGTTTTATCTTAGATGGAGTCTATCCAGCTCTGGGATATCCTCAGGAGTTGTTATTGGATAGGTTTGAAATGCATAGCTTAATTAAGAGGAGGGTTATGTACTCGATAATGTTCTTGTACAAAATTGTCAACCACGATATTGATTGCATTGAGCTTACAACACAAATAAATTACCGTGTTCCTAGAATAAATGCCAGATCAAATAGTTTGTTTAATCTTCCTTCTTCGCGCACTAACATGTTGCGGTGGTCTCCTTTACATCAAATGCTTTTTAATTATCATAATATGGAGAATAGCCTGGACATTTTCAATACTTCTTTAGCACATATTAAAACAATTTTCTATTCTCACAATTGAGTTATCGGATTTTTAATTTCTTGTTAGTTTTTTATATTACCTACTTATGTTGTTGTTTCTGTTGTTGGTAATGAGTTTAGATATATTAATTCCCATGTGACTTTACCGTTTTGCTATTTTTTTATTGATTGACTGACCATTGTTTCTGATTAAGGTTTGTACTTTTTGGTAATTTTTA